GGCCACAGCTCGCCCTGGGCAGCAATCAGACTTAGCAGGGAGATCAGACAGACTGCCATCTAAAGGAGTAGAAGGCCAAATGCAGCCCAGCTCCACCAACAACCCACTGTGTGACCTGGGCAAGTTACCAGGCCTCGCTGAGCCTCTGCCGCCCTGTCTGCAAAATGGGGGAAAGAGGACCTCTCCTTTCATACAGAGAGGTTTTGTGCAGCCTTCTCGCAGAGCGGGACAACGCAGGATGCAACAGCACTGCTGCCATGTGGACCATCATGTGCTCCGGGCACTCGGGGGAAAGAGGCCACCTTAACCAGGAGAGGAGAGGCAGGCCTCGCGGCGGAGGGCGGGGTTTGGTGTGGGGCCCTGATGCAGTTAGCAGACCTCGGGGTGGGGGGTGGGGGGCAGAAAGGAAGAGCCTGGAGAGTCCCTGAAGCACAAGGAACAGGTCCAAACGAGGAAATTGTCAAAGAGGAAGAAGCAATGAGCGGCATCAGCTCTGTTTCCCATCCCGAGAGCTGGCCCAGGCTCCTTAAACTAATATTTGCCTCTTGGCCCCTAGCAGTAAACCACACCTGAGAGTAAATATTGGTTTAGCCTGGGAAGCGGAAGCCCAGATGGCGGTGTGGTCCTGGTGGGGGAGCACACGCACTCAGCAGGGCCAGGCCGAGGCGCACCTTGGACGGGAGACCGGACCCACGGCTTCGTCTCCAGGGGCCGGGGCTCTGGCTGGAGGGCAGCAGGATTGGCCTCAGACGGCCTCCCGGTGGGTCTCGTACCAAGACCTGGGAAGCGTGCCCAGGGAGGGATGAAGCAGAAAGCCAGGAGCCCTCGGGGCCGGCGCTGAGGCGCAGCAGGTTAGGCCTATCAGAGAGCTGGTTCGAAGCCCAATCCCTGTCCCAGCTGCTCCACTTCCCATCCGGCTCCCTGCTGATGCACCTGGGAAAGCAAAGATGACCCAAGTGCTTGGGTTCCTGCCACCCATATGGGAGATCCGGATAGTTTCTGACTCCTGGCTTGGGCTTGGCCATTGTAGCCATTTGGGGAGTGAACCAGCAGATGGAAGATATCTCTGTGTGTGTGTGTGTGTGTCACTCTGCCTTTCAAATAAGCAAAGTAAACCTTTAAAAAAAGAAAGCCAGGAGCCCCACCTACTGCCCCCCTGGTGCTCCCCCGGGCTCACTCTGACCTGCGCAGCCTGGGAGATCCGCAGGCCAGGGGCGCCTGGCTTCTGGGCAGCTGGAGAACTTGGCCGGGCCCCTCCCCACACCTGGCCTCGTTAGCCACAATTCCCCTTCCTGACCAACTTAACAGCTCAGGAGCTGCCAGAAGCCACCTGTTCCCAGGCCTCTCCTGTGATGCACACACACACCCTCCTGTAATGCACACACACACTCTCCTGTGATGCACACACACATACTCTCCTGTGCACACACACACTCTCCTGTGACACACACACACACCCTCCTGTGATGCAAACACACGCACTCTCCTGTGATGCACACACACACTCCTGTGCACACACACATACTCTCCTGTGATGCACACACACTCTCCTGTGATGCAAACACACGCACTCTCCTGTGCACACACACACTCTCCTGTGATGCACACACACACACACTCTCCTGTGACGCACACATACATCCTCAGCTGTGCACACGCCTCAGCTCCACAAGTCACCTGTTGCCTTTTCTGCTTCTTCTCTTCCTCAAGGGTCTGCTCCCCACTGACGGCTAATTTCCCTCACCTCTGTGGCTCTGCACACCCCTCCTGCCTGACCCACATTGCTCCTCCCCAAGCACTACTTCATCTGCCCTTTTCTTTTTTCCTGCCTCCCTTGCTTCCTGCCTTGAAGCTTATCTCCTACAGGAAATCCTCCTGTGGCTGGATTGCTCCCCAGCCACAACCCCCAGAGTTTTAGTCTCCAGACCACCCTTAACTGCAGAAGGGGAGGTAGACCACCCCACAGCAGTTACTGATGTCTCCCCACTCCTCAAGGAGAGTGGCTGGGTTTTCAATTGTCTGACTCTCCTGCATGTGCCTGAGCTGGGGCAGGGAGCGGAGCAGAAGAGCATGCAGGAGCCCCCTAGATGTGGACTCTTGGTTGGTCGGCCTCCTGCCAGGAGCCAGGGCTCACGTTTCTGAGAGGAGCAAGGAGACCTTGACCCCAGGGTAGCAGCTTATCTCTCCCAGTATTAATCACCCATAAAACCTGTGTGTGCTCCACTGCTGGTGGTTCCTTCTTCCTGGAGGTAGGAAGCTGTTATTCTTGGAGACGCCAGGCCAGGCTCGGGCCAGGGTGCTTGGAAGCAGGAGGGTGATCTGCTGAACCCCAGCTCGGTGGCCAGGTAGCCTGCAAGACCTGGAGCAGGCCTGCCGGGCCACAGCTGGCAGCAGCATGGGTAAAGCGGGCATCAAGCGAGGAGGGGGCAATGCCGGCCCTGCCTCTGCCCACTCCCATCCTGACTTGCCTACCTACTCTGTGCGCAATGGGACAGGCAGCCAGGATGCCTGTGGTGTGAGGAGCAGGTGCAGGCCAGGGCAAGGCATAGAGAGCTCTGCAGATCAGACACTGGCTTGGGGGGCAGTCACCCCAGGAAAGATGGTGCATCCTTGGCACGACCAAGACGGACAGTGACATTGTTCAGAAGAGGGAAGGGGGGTGGGGGAAGCACGAGCCAGAGGGAGCAGGGGGCAGAGGGGGACAGAGGCAGAGCGAGGGGGAGGAAGGGGAGGAGAGACAAAGGAGACCCCCGAGAGCCACAAACGCGAGGATGTGCCAGGTGTGGTGTAGGAGAGGGGGCAGCAAGTGGGAGGACAGGGAGACAAGGGACCCCGCGGCTCTCCAGGGGAGCCGCATGCAGAGGGCAGGGGTGCGTAGGGAGGGAGAGAGCAGCACGCCAGGCTCAGACAGGCTCTTGGATGGATCTCCTTCTCACTCGGGGGAAAAAAAATACAAATAAAAAATCCATTTAGGAAGAACAAAATAAAGAGATATTTTAATCTCCTAATTGAATTTAGGAGCCATCATGGGTGTTTGAAAATGCCCAGGGATTATGGTGATTTACGGCCGGGATGGAATCAGCCGGCTTCGACCTTATCGGGTGCACAGAGAGGAGCGTGCTGGGAGGCTGAAACGCTCTGTGCAAACCCATTTATAGTCAAGGAGGGGAACGGGCCCCGGACAGGTCGGGTGCCTGGGCGCTGGCCCCAGGGTGGGGCCTTTCCGGTTATTTACTCCACGCTCCCCTCAGTGCCTGAGCGTTGGGAGCCCCATGGCACCTGACATGTTCCCCTTGTCTCCACCTGTCCTGAGCCTCCTGGAATTTGTGGGCCCAGCTCCGCCTCCTCTTCTGAGAGGCCCTCCTGGACACCATCTTCCCATGCTGACATCAGCCTCCTTTTACGCATGCTCTGACTGCAGGTGATGGGAAAGGCGTTGCTTTTGGCGTCAGAACACCCAGCTGAGGTCCCCGCCCTGCTACATCCCTAATGGGCAAACCAGGCCTTCTGCTGGCCTCGCTTTTCTCCCTGCCAAATGGCGCCCTCTGGGTAGGAACTCCTCGCAGAAGGGGCCTGGGGCACAGCGGTTAGCAATTTGCCCAGGGAGCCGGCGGCAGCTTCATCTCCCGAGGCTGCTGCCCATGGAACTCACCCCACCGGCCCCCTGCTCCCCTGGCAAGTCCCCGCCCCCTCCCGTGCTTCCACACGCCCCAACGCACCCTGCAGATGGTGCTCGGAGAGGGGCCAGCCGTGTAAAACCTGCCAGGCGTGTGGGCAAAGGGATGCGGGGGCAGCTGGGCACTCCTGGTGGGGTGCAAAGGGGTGCCAGGGAATTCTCCTCGGGGAGGGTCTCAGGGAAGAGGTGGCTTTGGAGCTGGGGACGGTGAGGAAGGGCACTCCCTGCTTAGGGAAAAGCAAGAACGCGGCCCCGCCACGACCCCGTAACGAGCCTGTGCCTTTCTCAAGAGCAGAGACATCTTCTCTGTCTTCCAACACATGGCTGAGCCTCGGGCCAAGTCAAAGGATCCCAAACCCACTTCACAGGCAAGAAAACTGAGGCTCGGACAGAAGCAGCCGAGCGGAAGCTCAGACCGAAGGTTTGGGGCCCGAGGACACCAGAGCAGCACGAAGGTGCTTACTGGGCCCTTGGCAAGGCACCGCCCCTCCAGCATGGGCAAGCTGACAATCAGGGATGACCAGAGTGCGGCGGCGGCTCCACACGAGGCAGCTCCCCAAGCCCACGAGCAGTCGCTAGGACACCCATCTCACAGAGGAGACGGAGGCCCGACACCCCGGAACCACTGGCCTCGGGGGCGGCCTCTGGCTGCAGGTGCACCCCTTTCACAGAGATCACCCATTAGCCCGGGACGGGGAGGGGGAGGCCTCCTTCAGTCGCTGACACCTGGAACAACCCGTCTCAGGCTCCTAACACGTCACTGTGACTGCAGAAACACTTTTATTGACTTGGAAAACAGAAAGTTCCCAAACTATTAGTTAATAAAAACTGCCTCCTCGAGTTTGGAACGCGACAAACAGAAAGGCCTCTGGCCATTACTCATCCCTTTTTACTTTCACTGTCTTCTTAACTCAAAGTGTTCTGAAAAGAAGGGCCTCACTGGTTCTACACTCTGAAGTCAGAAAGGGGGAAAACACTTCCCAACCACCTTCGCGGCATGTTCACAGGGACAAGGGCTTGGAAGGGAGAAGGAGCAAAGCAGGTAGGGGTGGCTGAGGCCAGACGTGGTGCCCAGGACTGTGCCAGACGCTTCACTCCCAGACCCGTCAGTTTAATCTTCCCATCAACCCATGCTGTAGATGAGAAAGCCGAGGCTCACGCAGGCTCCGCCTGGAGGCGAAGCTGTGGCTGAGGGGCAGCCGCGTACCCTGGGTCCACATGTGTGCACACACGTGCACAAGCTGAGCGAGGTGGGAGGATGGAGCAGTGTCAGGGCTCAGCACCCAGAGACCAAGGGCTGCACCCGACACAGCAAGGCACTCACCCAGCAGCTGGACGCCCCGCGTGAGGCCGTAGACGTCTACCAGGGCCCAGAGCGGGTCGGCGGTGCGGACCCCATTGAAGAAGAGCATGGCGGCGGAGTCATTGATGCGGTAGAAGACACGGCCCTTCTTGTCCACCCAGAAGGCGATGATGTTGCCCTCGTTGGCAAACTCCTCGGGCAGCGCCTTGGCCCAGAAGCCGCTCTGGGACACCAGGTCGGGGCAGGCGTACTTGGGCAGGGAGTCGGGGTGAATGCGTGACGGGTCCTTGCTGGTGAAGCCCAGGCGCAGGGCCCCGCTCCAGCAGCACTGCTTCCTGGTGATCTGCTGGCACAGGAGGCTCAGCCCACCATCCCACTCTGCTAGTCAGATGGGGGGCCTCGCTCTGCTGACCACCCTCCGCACCCTCCCTGGGGTTCCACCACTATCAGCCTTCCCCTCCCCCCACCCGCCCCCTGGCCTGGCCCAGTCCCTTCCGTGTCACACAGGCAAGGCGTGGAGGGTGGGAGCGGGAGGGAGGGAGGCCCACCTTCAGCCTGACTTGCTCATAGATGAGGACGGGCCGGTTGCTGAAGGTGATGGCGTTGCAGAAGCTGGCCTGCCTCTTGACGGCCTTGTGGCTGAGGTCCATGAGGATCTGAGAGCCCTTGGTGTGTGGGTGGAAGAGCAGCGGCGTAGCCGGGAGACCCCCACCGGGCAGTGCCGGCGGGCAGTGCTTCTGCTTGTGGTGGCATCGGTGAGAGGCAACCGGGAAAGGACCCCCAATGGAGTCTGCAAAGGAACAGGCCACAGGGTCAGAACTTGATGGGACCAAGAGCCGAGTCGGGGTCCCCTAGGATGGGGCTTAGGCATAAATGGATACTGCCCGCTGCCCGGTACTTCCACACCCAGGGCCACCTTTGACCGCCACCCTCTCCTGCAGCACACAGCAGCCCCTGGCCCGCCCCCGTCTGGCCTGGTCCTTCGCCCACCACCTCCCGCAATGTTGGCCGCCATCTCGCAGCAGTCTCCACTCACAGCAACCAGCACCCTCACTTAACCCGGTCATCCCCTCCAGTGAGCATGCACTGTCTGTCCACTGAGCACCCAGCTCTGTCCTAGGCATGGCAGCTGTGGACAGGAAGCACGCATGTGTCCTGTCCATGGGAAAAGTGGCCCAGGTGGGGAGACGGACATGGACAGAAATTGTGAGGCTTCCTGGAGGAGGCAGCAGCATCCCGGAAGCTAGGTTGGCAAGGCTGGGCTGCAGTAGACTGGGGGGCTCTTACTGGAGGCCAGAAGCAGGGGTGATACTCCCTTGGCCACACCCCTGCATTCCCCCAGCCCTGCCTCTTCTCTGCTTTGTACCACTCCCCCATGCCTGCAGCATCTTGGACACAGGGGCTCCATGGCACCCAGGACCCACCTCAGAGCACCCAGCACACCGCTTCGACAGCTGTCAGCCAGCTCAGCCCAAGTCAGGCAGGGCAGGGCTGGGCTGGGCTGAGAAGATATTTGCAAATGCTTTACAAACTGTCCAGGCGTCGGGGCAGGGGAGAGGAGTGCACAGGACTAGGTGCTGGGTGGCTGTGCATGTCACTAACTGGCTGTGCCCTTCTCTGGCCTCTGCCCTGTGGCTTTACGACAAGTGTGGGTGGCACCGGATGCACAGACACACAGCGGTGGGGCGGCGGGCCAGGGCTCAGGCCCAGCGGTATTCACTCACGTCTCCCCCCCAGCCCCCTCCTGTCATCCTACATCTATTTTCTTTCTTCGCTTTCTTGGGAGACAAAGAGACAGATAAAGAGAGAGCATGTTCCTGTCCACAGGTTCACTCCCCTTGTCCACAATGGCCAGGCCTGGGCCAGGGCCAAAGCCGGGGGCAGAGGCCAAAGACAGGAGCTGGTAACTCAATCCAGGTCTTGCATGTCGGTGGCAGGAACCCAATCTTTTGAGCCATCACCACCACCTCCCAGGCTCTGCTGAAGCAGGAAGCTGGACAGCAAACCCAGGACGCACGCGTCTTCACTGCCTCGTAACCACTAGTCCAAACTCCCACCCCGCCTGTCTTCTTAAGGAAAGACAGCCATGGAGGATGGGCTAGAAGGCAGTGGAGGAGGAGAAGGCCATGAAATGTGACAGAGGCCTGCTGGGATGTTTCAAATTTTGGTCCTTCCAGGCAGGAATTTAAGAATGCAGAGAGTGGGCTTGGCCAGCATCCGGCCAGCCCAGGGCCTTCCACTCCCTAGAGTAGGGGAGGGGTTTCCAGGCAGAAGGCAGTGGGGAGGGAGAGGACCACGGGGAACCGGGAAGGCGCCACCTGCCTGGGCCAGCTGCACATCCCTTTGCATCTCTGCCCCTCCTTTCCCAGAGGCCCCCAGGCACCAGTCGCCACTGCCCACCGCCTCTGGAGCAGCTTCCTCCACACCAGGTGCAGGGGTGGCACAAGAAGGAGCCCCCATTCCTCACTTCTAGGAGACAAGATGTCCCTGTCTCTCTCTCTCTCTTCCTTTCAAATAAAATAAAAATGAGGAAATAAAAATAAATTTTTTTGCATTTACTTGAAAGGCAGAGTGACAGAAAGAGAGAGAGAGAGAGATCTTCCATTCACTGGTTCACTTCCCAAATGCCCTCAGAAGCCAAGGCTAGGCCAGGCAGAAGCCAGGAGCCCAAAACTCCAATCAAGTTTCCCACGTGGGTGGGAGAGGCCCGAGCATGCATTAGCAGGAAGCTGGATCAGAAGGAGAGCAGCCAGGACTTGAACTGGCGCTCCAAAATAGGAAACAGGTATCCACAACACCCACCCCAATAAAAACGTTAAAAAACACCCGCTGGTGAAGGTAATACTACATACATCGTACAGGCATACAGCCACAGGTAGAGATGAAAACATCAAGAACAAAGCACCTGCTGTGAGAACAGACAGTGTGCAGGAGATGGCATTGAACCACTGACATGGAAACAATTATGCTGCGTGGAATAAAAGAAAAGCGTACTCAATCCACAGAGGAACCGCTGCACTGTTCCCTTCAAAACCCTTCCTCCCCTTCCTCCTTTGTCCATTTTCATCAAGTTCTAGGAAGTACAAACTGAGCCATAGTGTTCAAAAGCAGTTCAGGGGGTGCCTGGGGGGTAGGGAGACTGGCAAGGAGCACAGGGCAGCACTTGGGGCTGAGCCATGCCCACTGCCTTGATTGGGGTGATTCTGCATGCATGTACACAATCATATGCTTTTAGCCCGTGGGCTTTGGGACACTGCAGTAGAGGGTGCCTCACTGAGCCCAGCTGCTGATAAGAGCCTCTCCTCAAGGGTCCCCATCCCCATCTCCACGCAGAGCCGCTGAGCCAAGTGCAGGGCCTTGGCTCTATTCTGCACTTCCTCTCCTTCCCAGCCATCCCTGTTGGGCTCCTGGGTTCTGGATAAGGCACAGAAAACACTAGCTCCAGGCAGAAACAGTAGAGACACCCAGGGGCCAGAGACACAGGCCCCAGAAAGACATGCCCCACCACATCCTTTCCCCAGGGAGGACCCATGTGCTGGTCACCTGGTCCAGGTTGGGTGGGGCAGAGAAGGGGCAGCACAGGTCCAGCACACTGGCTAACAGCAGAGCACATGGAGAAGGTGGGTGCAGGCAGGACACATGGAGAAGGTGGGTGCAGGCAGGACACATGGAGAAGGTGGGTGCAGGCAGGACGCAGGTGCTGGCAGCACTGTGTGCACCTGGACATGTGGCCTGCACAGACCCACTCATGGGAACACATGGAGGCAACCCAGACAGACCCCAGCTGACCCTGAGACCAGGAGGACCCACAAATTGACATATGTATGTGCACACACGTGTTCATGCCCACACACATGTGCAAAACTGCCACCTAACACATGTTCCTTTCACACACTGGCCCCCACAGCCACTTCTCGAGCACCACAACAAGCCAGCCTCTGAACTGGGCGTTTTGCCTGCACTTGCTGGTTTCACCTTGACCACAAACTTAGGCGGCAGGAAGGGACACTATCAACCCATTTTATGGATGACAAATCTGAGTCTTAGATTCAGTGGCTTGCCTAAGGTCACACAGCAGGTAGGTCAAGGATCTAGGAGCCAAACCTAGCAATCCCACCCAAGAACTGTGACATTGGCCATTAAGCAATAATAACAAGGAAAATAATTTAATAATAATGAAAATTATGGGTTTGGTGTGCTGGACTCATTTTTAATGCATGTTAAAATAGCCATAACTTGTAAAATATGATGAAGAAATGTTTATCCAGGAGCCACCTAACATCTTAGGGCACACTGAGGACACGTGGCATCTGGCACAGAAACGCAAACCCTGTCCTCAGCCCTCATGTTGCTGGAGGGACGCAGCCTGGGGCAGCCACCATGGACCAGGGTTTGGCAGTTTCTAATGAAGTCAAATGCCTACTAGCATGCACGCTTCTGGGCACCTCCCCAAAAGCAATGAACCATGTCCACACGATGACCTGAACACAATGTATAGCAGTCTTATTCATAACAACCGAAAACCTGGAAATGACTCAAACGTCCTTCAACTGGTGAATGGGCAAATAAAATGCGGTACAGCTACTACTACTACTCGGCAGGAAAAAATGTACTGGTCACACGGCGGGGACGAACCTCAAAAGCAGCCTCCGTGACAGAAACCAGATGCAAAAGGCTGCACCCTGGGCGCACCCATCAGTGGGACATCCTCTAGAGGGCTCCGGGGCGTCCGAGCGTGGGCGAGCTTGGGGGAGAAGCCCACAGAGGGAGTTCTGGAGGTGCCAGGAAGGTTCTGTTTCCTGAGGGTGGTGGTTGCTCCATCACACGTGGGTTGCAAATCAGTGCAATGTACCGTGTATCCCCTTGACCCCTCAGTTAATTCAAGCAACAACTCAAGCCAGGCCTTAACGGGTGAAGGGAAGAGAGGCTGGGATATGTGACCACCGCAGTAGCCCCATCACTGCCCCCTAGGCAGTGCCCAGGGCTCAGACTGTCTGTCTCACAGGAGTCCTTGAAAGCCTGGTAGGGGGGCTGTCACCCTAAGACAAAGTGGGGTGCTATTCCCCAGAGGGAGGCAGTCTGGAAGCTGCAAAGCTCTGTCTCCTAATGACTAGGGCCTGCCTTCTCCTGCCCACAGGGTGTCCCTCAAGGCCATCGGACAGCCACAGAGGCCTGTCCGCTGCCCCTGCCCTCTGTACCTGAGCCTGCTGTGAGATCAGGACGCTCAGAACCGCGTCTCTGGTCTACTGGGCATCTCCTGCCCATGGGGCTCCCTCCCCTGGGCAGCCCCCAGTGAGCTCCTGACCCACAGACCCTCCTGTGCTCCTAGGGTCAGCAGAGTGCCCAAGGACCCCACACCCATTCTGACAATCCTGGGAAATTAATACCCTCCAGGCTCTGGCCTTGCTGTGCACCCTGCAGCCGCACCCTAACTCAGGTGCCCCGGGTTCTCTTCTGAACCCAGGGCATGGGCTATGCCAGACAGCCCATGCTCTGTGCCCTGCACACCTCCAGGGGCTGCGGCTCTCACGACTGCAACGTGAATGGTGCTCTGAGATGGCCAACGCAGCGGCCCTGTCACCATCTCCCCCACCCCAGAAATCCCTGCTCCTGCTGTCTCCCTTCTCCACCTCAGCAGCAGTAAAACTGGGGGCAGGGAGGACTACACAGCAAGTGAGAACTAACTGAGCACAGCTCTGATGCCAAGAGCGTGGCAGAGGGGGAGCCGACGCCATCTGACAAGCCTCCCTCCCAGCACTTTCACGTACACTACGCCTCGGAAGCTCCCCA